GGAAAGAGTGGAAAAGCGGCTTCCATGAGCAAATTTATCCAGAGGGGACAAGCTAATTGGATGAGCGCATTTGCGTGAATAAAGGGCTATCGTTGTTCTTTCTCCCCTTCCCCTTCCTCCTTCCCGCCCTCTCCCCGCCCTCTTTCTTTCCCGTCAAGCCTCCTCTCGCGCCGCATGCTTTAGTCTCTGTGAATAGGAAAAATACTCTGGAACAGTAGGAATAGTATCGACTTCCCTTTCCCAAAGTTGCTAAGGAAGCCGGTAAAAGTTTTTGATTGATTTACGTTAGTACCAGTTTTTTTATCGGGATAACTATGCGAATTCCCAAGAGATTGGCTATCGCGCTAACACAGCCGTAACTTCGACCTTCAGTGTGGGAGCAGCGCTACTTGCTGCTGTGCCATGCCAGTCAACTTGGCTTCATTATGTTAAATTACTAGAAATTTTGAATGTGGCGAATGCGAAGAAGGCAATGGCATCAGAAAAGCCTTTGTTGGATTTCGATCCGTATGAAATATTGAATTTGCAACAGGGCTGCACTGATGCACAAATTGTGAAAGCGTTCCGGCGAGCAGCATTAAAATGGCATCCCGACAAAAATCCAAATCGAACACAAGCCGGTACCACTTTTCTTTACTTGTGATTTCATTATTGATGTGAAAAATGGACATCGAGTATTAGTGTGTGGTACCCTGAACACAAAATGATTGTATCCGAGGACTTTAGAAGAGATGATGCATTAAATAGTGCAGACAGGAATTATGAAACTAGACGTATGCAGCTCAAGCAAAATGAGATAAGAGCTCTATCCAGCCTATTAGTACATATCAATAAAATGAAATTTTTACGGCGGCAGTTCTTGCGGCCTTCACGTTTTTAAAAGAAAAAGGGAGAATGGTTTTTTTACAAGACAATTTGTCTAAGGAGAGGGCTTCATCAGTATGCTGATAAGTTTTTTTCTCCTAATATTTGGAGGAACACGTTTTGCGATTTTAGCACAAGATATGTTCCTGAAAATATCGAAGGCATTCGCCTTATTATCGGATGTGACAGCACGGGCTGCGTACGATCATGTTCTGGCAGCTAAGACAGCGCGTAAGGTCTACATCCAACGAAGACAACAAGAAGGGAGCGAGAAACGTCGAAAATTACGCGAAGAGCTGGAAAGGCGAGAAGCTGACGCTGCTAGTGCTCGGAAGAAAGAGGAGGATGCCAATAAGCAATTAGAGAAAGAAGTTTGTGATTCTTTTTCATTACATTTGAGGCTTTTTTTGGATTTTCCCTTTCCCAGTCCAAAATTAGGAAAACGTAGCTTTTGAGATTTTAAGAGGACAAATTTTGCAATTTGATTTTTTTTTGTATGCTTTAGATTGAGCGTCTGCGAAGAGAAGGCTCTAAATTACTGCAGCGTGAGAGGGAAAATGTAGAGCGAGAAATCCATGGAGACACTGCAATGAAGCAAAGTTGCAGTAGTGAGAGTATGTGCATTCCACTACCGTCTTTTATAATTCTTATTGGCTTTTATGTGCAAACGCGATAATTTTTACAGCGCCATTTACTCGATATAAACTGCGGTGGAAACGAGGAGTTGGTATAAGTGGTTATTATGAAGAAGATATCCGCCAGTTATTTTCTAAGGTATGTCTGCTTATTCTCCAATTTAAGCTAATTGGGACAGTTATTGTTAAAGTGAATGCAGCTAAGCGGTCGTGTAGACTGCTATAAATCGAGTATACCGCAGTGTTTTTTAACTGAAGTATAGCAAGAAACGATAGAGCGTTAAACCGAGAGGTTTACTTGGTTCTGTCTGCATTTCCATTTACAAATATAAAATAATAATTCAGTACGGAGACATTTCGAACGTTGTTTTATCAAGTGGTGACAGAGGCTCTGCGATTATTGAATTCAGTAAACTGATGGATGAGGTAAAGATTGTTCGTCTCTTATGAATACGTGTAGTAAAAATGATGATTCAGTAAAAGATTTCGAGCAATCAATCTAACATTCTCATTCCTGAAGTGTTAGAACCACTTGGATTTGCATATTTCAGGAAGGAATTTTAAAAGAAAGCGGTAAGCCTGAGCGTCCAGTATCCGTTAAACGTATTCGAGGACCTCCGCTATTCGTAAAGAATCCATTGTCCAATTCGAAAGCATCTTCTGGTTCAGTGTTTTTTCTTAAATTTATGTTTTTTGTTGAATTACACCGCCCTCACTTGTTAGTGAACAAAAGTTGTTTAAAAAGCCCAATGTTTGGTGGATAAATCCAAAATTTGCAGAACATGCATTGACTTCCACGCAGTTTGCTGATTTTGAAGCCGAAGTTCTGACAACACTGGCGGCTGGAACAAAAAGAAAAGTGAAAAATACAAAGAGCAAATTTGACGATTTCTGATTTTCCATACTGAAATCCCTGTATCTTTTGTACCTGACACAGTTGTTTCCAGCTTGTGACCCCGCATCAATTTCCCACACTAATTGTTTTAGCGGTTTTCATATCATTCGTAAAATCAGCTTTTAGTAATTTAACTTTTACGTGTTTTTTGCAGCTATGCAATGCAGAAAACGCATATTGTGTATGTATGTGTGTGTCTGTGTCTGTGTCCGTGTCCGTGTGTCTGTCTGTGTGTGCGCTGGGCCTCTGTACCGATTTTTCATCTCGATATCTAAAAAGGCTACAGGGCCGAAACTTTGGGAACCTAATCTACATGCGTGTACGGGTCTCCGTCCCCAAAATGGGCGGTTTTACCTGCGTAATACCCACGTACGGGCCCGTGAAAGTTTTTTGCAGGTAAGTCGCTAACTCGCGAACCAGAAAAGCTAGAAAGTTGAAATTTTTAGGGGATGTTCCCCGCTAACCTAAGTCTCCGGGTGTGCGTAACTTCGGGTGTGCGTAACACCCACGTACGGACCCGCCAAAGTTTTTTTCAGGTAAGTTGCTCACTCAGGAGGCTGAAAAGTTAGGAGGCTGTAATTTTAAGGGAACGTTTCCTGTCCACGTAAGTCTCAACGGGCTCAAACTCAGACACCGGGTATGCATGGGCTTGCCAAAATCTTCGGGTAAGTCGCTAACTCGAGAATTTGAAAAGTTAGAAGGCTGTAATTTTAAGAGGACGTTCCCGTCCACCTTAGTCTCATTGAACTCAAGCTCAGACTCCGGATCTGCGTGGTACTCACGCACGGGCTCGTGAAAATTTTTTTCTGGTAAGTTGATAACTCGGGACCTGAGAAGCTAGAAGACTGGGACTTTAAGGGAATATTCCCCAGTCACGTAGGTATTAATGGTAGTAATGTCATTCCCACGTATGGTTTTTTGTGTAAGTTGCTAAACAAGAAAAACCTGAGAAGCAAGAAGACTAGAATTTTGAAAGGATGTTTCCTGACAGCCCTGGCGGCTAGTCTGAAATTCTTTTAGCTAGAAGCATCTGCCGGAGAAAATAGTGCCGTCAGCTACAAAAATCTGCGGGGACTATGCAGAAAACGCATCTTCGCACAGGCAACCCGTGCGTTGGCCAATTTTTTCTTATTAACCTACGTGTACTTTTAAAAGTTTGTTTTTGTTTAATTTGTAGGGAAGGGAGGAGTGGAAAATATGATAAAAATGGAGTAAATTATTCAAAAGTACTAGGAATACCAAGACTGTTCGGATTAGAACGCTTCATACGCCGAGAACAGCTGGACCAGGCCCTTCGGTTCTAGACTGCACACCTCCAGTTAATGCTCACTGATTTTCTATGTGCGCCACCTTTCGGAAGTAGTCCGAACGGTCGTTTAACTTCCCTTTACTAATACGCATTGTCCACCGGTTGTTAATGAACAACAGCCCCTGCCTATCGGATTTTGTTTTCTCGCGTGGGTACAATGATACTCTGAACGCCGTTTACTTCAGAGAGAGCGTGATTGTTCATAATTGCGGAGAGGTGTGAGAAGTATCCTTCTCTCCATCGCTGTCTCCATTATTGCCAGCGCCCTATCTCCAGCTTTTATAAGTGCCACGTTTCGCACCCGTACCGTCATTGCCTTCAATACAGCGATATTGAAGCACGGTCAATCGGAGATTCAACGTTTTGAGAACATCGGCGATGCTGTGAAGTTTGCGCCAACCGGCAACCCTTCGACGTGAATTCTCCAACGAGAAATTGTGGCGCATATTTACTTGTCGTGATAAACGTAACTGTCAGTTTCTTCCATGTCTACATCGTCTGCTTGTATTCTTATCTCGGACATACCGTGACTTTGCGTCATCTTCATTGTAATTATGTAGATTTTCAGGCCCACTTTATTTCGTGCGTTGAGCTCCTGCAACAACTCGTTTATTTCGTGTGAATGCTTGGCAGTAAGAACTGTATAATCCGCAAAGTGTAATTAATTTAGCAGCTCACCGTTAATCTGCGGGCCACCTTTTCGATGCAATTTCTGAAAGCACGCAAGGCAGGCAGTTAAAAGATTGGGCGATATGGGTTCGCTTTGCCATATTTCTTTCCCGACCGGTGTGTGAATTAGAATGGAAAGAAGTATTATGTCTCTCAAGTATCGTATATTTGCTTCCTTAATAATTTCCACATAGTCTACATCGATTCCTGAAGTGAAATATCTGTCATTCTTTCAGAGTTATCTACCTTTTTTTTTTTACAAAAAACTGAATAATGAAACTTCTAGCTTTCACCTACTGAATCAGTCTTTCTGATCTTCTGTCTAGTTTG